AGGACATCGCGGGGATGCTCCCCCGATGGATGGAGGCGCGAGACCTGCTCATCAGGCCTGGGGGGAGGGGGCGGGGGACGGGGGAGAAAGAGAAGAGAGAAAGAGGGGGAGAGAGGGGGAGCAAGAGGAGGAGGTGGAGGAGGAGGAGGAGGAGAGACTGCGGCCCCCACCCCTCCCCAGGGGGACCCGGAGGGAGAGGGGAGAGAGCGAGCGAGCCCCCGAGTCCCACACGCCCGGACAGTGGTCCCAGACAGGCAGACCCCAGACCCTCGGAGGGAGAGACGGACCCCAGCCCCAGAGAGGATCCCTCAGCCCGCACGCTCAGCAGGTTAATCGGAGACACAGACCCCAGCTCTACAGGAAAAGAGACCTTGATTTCATAGATGAAGACCCCCGCCCCCGCCCCCCAGGAATCACGATCAGAATGTGAGAATCAGGCTCCAAAAGATTCTTAAGAGCCACAGAAATCTTAGACTTCAGACCCTGTGGTCTGATTTCAGTGATCAACACGTGAGACCTAGACTCAAAGCAAAAAGATGAAACCCAGATCAGAAAGACCAGACCTAGACCAGCTGGAACTCAGACACGGGGAGAGATCTGGGGGACCCCAAACTCAGACTCAGACACACAAAGTCCAGAGCAGGGCCAGCCAGACACCTGCTACCCTAGAGAGGGACCCAGTGACCCAAAACTCACAAAGTTTGAAAGACCCCAGAGAGTGTGAAACCATGCAGACCATGAAACACAGAATCCCCTAAGACAGCAGAAAAGGGAACTCAGTTCTGAGAAGATCCCAACACTATTTTTTGGGGGAGGGGGCTTTTTTGAGACAGGGTTTCGCTATACACTTCAAACTGGCCTTGAACTCACTTTATAGCCCAGGATGGCCTCGAACTCGCAGTGATCCTCTGCCTCAGCCTCCTGAGTGCTGGGATTACAGGTGTGCCCCACCATGTCTGGCCCCCAGCGCTAATCCCGAAGACCCCATGATGTCTCAAAGACAAATTGCAATTCCAGACAGAGACCTCAGGGACACACCACCCCAACTCCAGAAAGGTAAAAAACAAGAGAATCCTAACATCAGCCTAGGAGACTCCCAGCCACCCAGGGGCCCCAGAACTTAGGGGGTGTTGGGCAGCAGAGCCCTTTTCTCTGCTGTCTCCTCCCACTCCTCTGGCCTCTCCTTGGCCCCTCTCTGCATTTTTGGGTCACTGGATGTGCTTGGGCCCCAGGGAGGTTATGTAGGGCAGGTCCCAGCTCCTGGGGGGATGGGTTAAGGAAAGGAACCCCAAGACCAAAGGTGCCCCAGTCCTGGGCAGTGGGACAGGCAGGAGAGGGGACAGAGCTGTCACCACTCTTCTCTCCTTCCCTCCAATTCACCACTGTTTCAAGTTTCGGGTTATCAGTTCGGAGTTTTGATCAACCTGTACCCCACGTACATGGTCCTTTAGGAACGCCTTCTTCCTCTCCTACACTGCCGTGCCATGCCTGCGCCTTGGCTAGTCACTGCCCCCTACCCAGGGACAGCTGGCCTGTCAGCTCAGCCCTGTTCATTCCCATCCCAGGCACTGCTCAGCCCTAACTGCAAGGGCAGGGGGCGCTCTCTTCGCCCCCAGGTTCAGGTTTCCCAGACCCTCCCACCCCTGCAGGAAACGGGGTAGGGACTGTTGCTAGGCACATTTTGGGGCTTAAGGATGATTCCCCACTCCACAGCCTGACGCATCCTGTCTGCGGGGACTCTGGCCCCCCTCGTCCAGCGCCAGCTCTCTCGTCACGTGACCCGCAGGGCTGGCCCGCGATTGGCCTCCTCGCGACACGCCCCGAAGTTGCGCCCGCCGGAGAGGCCCGGCCCCGTCACGTGACAGGGGACCACCGCAGCGGCTCTCCTCAGCCAGCAGCCAGGCGTTTCGGAAATGGGCGTGCCATTTCCGCGCACTTCTGCAGATCTGGTTGCCGATTGGTTCATAGCCCCTCGCCCCTCCCTATTAGGAGGCGGGGCAATCTGCGCCACGTGAGCGTGTGGATTGGTTGGCTCTGGAGATTCGGGCAGGCGGGCAGTACTGTCACGTGGGTGCGCTGTTTTCTTATCACGTGGCTGCCACCCAGGTAAGAAGAGGCCGTCCTTCCTTGGTTTGGGGTCCTTTCTTGCCTAACGTGTGACCTTTGGTATCAAGCCTCCTCTCCCAGCACAGGCTGTATGAGGGGGGCGCGGGCGTCCGCAGCCCTGCTCGGCGGAGGGGTGAGTGCCCGGCCCGGCCCGCCCCGCCCCTTCCGGTCCTCCAAACCTGGACCCGCGTTCCGAATCCCGGGTGAAAACCGAGGCTTGGGCTCCGTTTCCCACGTTTCTCTACCAGTTTCAAGGACGTTTTGCTTTCGGGTGCAGGAGAGGGAGGGCCGAGCGCGGGGGTCCGGCCCGGCGAAGGCTCCCGGGGTGCGGCGTCCTGGGGTGCCTGTGGCAGAGGCCGTTTCGCCCCCGTCCCCAGGCCGCCCTGCTCCTGTCGCTCCTGTGGATGCCGGCGCTGCTGCCTGCGGCCTCCCGCCTTCTGTCGCTGCCCAGAGCCCTGCTGTCCATGGCGTCTGGAACCCCCCCGCCCCAGCCCGGCCCGGCCCCGGGCTCCGGCTACGTCCCGGGATCGGTGTCCGCAGCCTTTGTCACTTGCCCCAACGAGAAGGTCGCCAAGGAGATCGCCAGGTGGGGGCCGCGGCAAGGAGCAAGGATGGTCGGGGGTCGAGGACGGAGAAGAGGCGGCCTCCTGGGCTCCAGCGTTGCCGAGCCTGGCGCGGGGTTGCCAAAGTCGGGGTCCTGGGCGCTCTGATCGGGGCTCTCCTTCGCTTTAGGGCTGTGGTGGAGAAGCGTCTAGCAGCCTGCGTCAACCTCATCCCTCAGATCACGTCCATGTAAGTCGAGGGGCTGACTGGGAGCGGTTCTCCTCCCGGAGTGTTTGCTTCCCAACGCTCTCCCCCTTTTTCTCCCGTCTCTTCAGCTATGAGTGGAAAGGAAAGATTGAGGAAGACAGTGAGGTGCTGATGGTGAGCAGCATTCCCCTGCCCAAGCGAACACCTCCGGCCCCTCCGGCCCTGCCCCGCGTCCGAAATCACTATTGCCTTTTGCTGCAACTGTGTTTGTATTTGCCCCTTAGATGATTAAAACGCAAAGTTCACTGGTCCCAGCCTTGACAGAATTTGTCCGGTAAGAGCTTGGACAAAGATGGGCGTGTGCGCGTGTGTGGTGGGGACTTGCGTGAAGGGGGAACCTTTGGGTGTTTGTGTCACTCCTCCTTCCTGACACTTTCGCAGTTCTGTGCACCCTTACGAAGTGGCGGAGGTGATCGCATTGCCCGTGGAGCAGGGGAACCCCCCATACCTGCACTGGGTGTACCAGGTCACCAAGTCCCTTTCCGGTTCCAGCACGGCTGTGCCATGATGAGCCGTGCTGGCGCCATCCCCTCCCACTTCAGTGCCCGAGTTCTTCAGGTGACGACTGAGCCCCCAATAAATCCATCTTTGGTTTCCTCCGCCTTTTGCCTTTCTTCCTGGTGACACACGCGTATTTGGTTGGGTGAGATCACAGTGCTTCCAGCCCTGCACTCCATCCATCTTTCACAATGACTCACGGCTACTGAGCGTGTTATTTCTAGTTCTCTTTATTTCAGTCATACAGAATCCGGGATCCCTTATCATCCCCCCCCTCAGTCTCTGCACCCAGGGGTTAAATAATTTTTAAAAATATTTAAAAAGCTGTAACAAAATAACATCAAAGGAAACGGGAAGGATGAGGGGGGTCAGGAATCCTGAAGGGGGTGAAGAGCCTCTTCCCCATCCCCTCTAGATTCCAGCCTGGCAGTAGGAGAACACCCCTATCTCCAGGTACATCCCAGCTGCAGGTGAGGTCAGAGGTCAGGGTATGAAAGTGCTGGCAGGCGTGGATGGGGAGGCGCAGGGCACTGTTCAGAAGATGCCCCCTCCTCCCCACTCGACCAGGTACTGCACAGAGCCATCGGGCCGGACTCTCCGAGCGAGGACCCGGACTGGGTCCCCCCGGGACAGGTAGCCAACCCCACCTCGGACTCCTCCCCCAGTTCCCGGAGACAAACCACGGCACAGGGAAGAAGAGGGTGTTGAGCGTCTAGGAAGACCTGGGGAGGGGGCTGGGACTGAGGAAGGTGAGACAGTCATCGAGTGGGGGGCGCTTTTAGGGATGTCTGTGGGGAAGCCGATGTGAAGTTCAAGGGGTGACCTAGGGAGAGAAGGCAGTCACAGACAGATGCACACAGAGACTGGCCGGATGCAGGGCCATGTGTGGGTCAGAGAGATGCAAAGATGCTCTGAGAACAGGGAACTTGAGACCACAGAGGAGAAGAGGCATCAGGTAATGGGGGTGAGTCTCACCTGTCTGGGGGTTCACTGTCCCCAGAGGTCCCTGCGGTGCTGGCAGAAGGGTGGAAGGAGGCAAACATCCGGATGGGGCTGCTGGGGTTGGGAGGAAGGAAGTCAGGACCAGGACAGGGGAGCAAGATGGCCCCTGGGAATGGCAGAGTTCAAACATGGTGCTTCTGGTAACCACTGTCCCCAGACCACGGGGCACCAAGCATTGTCCCAGAAGTCTCTCAAACAAGGAGTGAGCAGCCAAGGACAGGAGGAAGAGAATTCCAGGCGGCGAGGTCTGGAGGAGGTCGGCAATGGAACACTGACCTGGGCAGACAGCGGGCATCTGTGGGCCGGAAGTTGTAGCCGCTGCTGCCCTGGTAGCTCTGGTTAGGGCTGGGGGGTGATGGAGACACTGAGGCCTAGGAGAAGGGGCAGAGAACTGAGAGGTCACCTCTGGTTCCTTCCCACACCCCGCCCTGCAGCCATGGGCTTCCCCTTACCCCATACCTGCAGTGCCCTCTGCAGCCGAGCCCGCTCCCTCTGCTGCCGGGACTCGGGCTGATTGCGCACTGCTGAGGATGGCCCCAGCTCCTCCGCCTGCCCCTTCTGCCTCCTCCTCAGGGGCTCTGGCTCCGGCCTCCGGCGCTTCCCCAGGGGACGTGAGACCCCTCCCCCAGGGCCCTGCCCTGAAGGGAAGCTGTAAGAGGCCTCCTTATCCCCCCAGCCCCCTCCGGACACCCCAAACACCTCCCAGACCAGTCCCTGGAAATGTCCCCCATCCTCCCTGGACCAGTGACCTGGTTGGAACTCCGTCTCCATGAGGGTGCTCCACAGGAGGGGGGGCCCGAGCATGGAGCCCAAACAAGCATTTCCTCTTCTTGATCTCCCTCCCTGAAATGAAACTGGGGCAAAGACGGCATTGATACAGGGCCGTGCTGAGAAGGGGTCACTGGGCACACCATTCTGCAGCTGCAGTCAGAGCTGGCCGGCCAGGCGGGGTGCAGCCCCTGCCCTCCCAGACTTCCAAATCTCTGTCTCACCGAATCTCTGCCGCCACCTCCTCCCTCCACTCACCGGTCTTTGTGGCTGTTAAGAGCAGAGAGGAGCTTGGAAGAACGTTCTCCCTTAGGGGTGTCTGAGAGCTGGGGGAAGAGAAGGTAAGTGGGCTCAGGCAGTAGGGATCCCCTCCCTTCCCTTCCCTCCAGCGCCCCATTCCACCCCATCCCGAGACTGGAGCCTGCACTCCCCTTACCTCGCCCAGGAGCAGACTGTCCCAGTTCTCAGAGGTGAAGGGAAGGATCTCTCGGTCAAAGTCGAAGTATTTCTTCTTACAGCAAACGCTGAGGTGATACAGGACAAGATGGGCCACGTCCACCCTGGAGAAACATTGTGTCATCAAGGCCACGGGAGCATGACCAAAGCCCGGGAGTCCAAGGTGGACAGCAGGGGCATGGAGGGTGAAGCGCTGTCCTGGGGGCGCCCCATCCGCTCACCAGCGAAGCTGCAGCCTCCGGACCTTCTCAGGGCCCCCCCGGCACACACAGCATTCAAACTCATAGAACCTGGGCGTGGGCAGGAGGGAGAGAACACACCTGGTTCGGGCGCACCAGACATGCCATGCAGGACTGGCACCCAGCACACAGACGTGGGGAAGAGGGCACAGGTGGGGGACCTGAGGATGGGGCACAGCGAGAGGGTGCCCTGACTGCCTGGTGAGCCCCCAGCTCACCTGTCCCCGTAGAGGAGGGGCTTGCTCAGACACTGGGTGCAGGCCTCGTGGAACCACTGCAGGCAGCTCCGGCACTGCAGCATCTTGAGGTTCCACCTGTGGAGACACCAGACGAGTGGCCTCCAGACCCTACCTTCCCATCGGTGCTGATCCCCGCACTGCCCTCACCCTGTCTCCCTTCCCCGGGCTCTGCCACCCCTCCGTACTCACTCCCCAGGGCCACCGCAGTAGCAGTAGCTCTGCTGCCGGTTGCTCAGGTGCCCGGCATCCCAGTCGAGCCCCTTCAGTCCGTATGGCAGCGACAGCTTCATGCCCAGCATGGCCCGGGCGTAGGGCCCCTTCTTCAGCGCACCTCCCCTCTGCAGAGCCAGAGCAGGCGGGTGCCTCAGGAGGCTGGGATCAGAGAGGACTGGGCGAGGCTGGGGTTGGAGCAGAACACTGAGGGGAACAGGTGGCGCCTTACCTTGGTGGCCATGGCAAAGACACACTGGCGGCAGACCCAGGATGCGGCCTCTGCTTCTCCAGGGGCCGGGGCCCTGGGAACGTGGCAGTCCTGGTGGTAAGCTGAGCAAAGACAGTGTTACCAGCCGCGCACTTGCTGGAGCGCAAGCCTGTGTGCGTGGCGCCAGGGTAGGGAGCTGTCATCTTGCCCATCCTATTTAACCCGCTCAACCTCCTGGGCTGGGTGCGCTAGCCTGATCTTACAAGTGGGAACTTCGGCTCCTGGGGTCTTCCCCAGAGCACATGCAGAAAAGGATGGTGTGAGCTACCTGCTGCCTGCAAAGCTCACACCACCTCATTCTACATCGGAAGGGGATGAAGCTGCAGGGTAAGGAGACTGGCCACAGTGCTGGCCTGAGGGTTAGACCAGGAGGGGGACATAAGACCAGTGCTACAGAGAAGGGCGATATCAACCTGGAAGGTCCAGAGCAAATGACCACTGAGGCAGCCTGCCCTCTCACCGTGGCGACACTTCTCACAGCTGACCAGCCGGTTCCCAGGGACCACGTTCTCAGAGCGACAGACACAGCAGAGGAGCTCCTCCCCGGGGAGGGCAGCTGCGGGGAACACGGTGTCAGGAGGCCTCCCCAAGTCCCCGTGCCCCAGAAAGCCAGGTTTCTCCTTCTTCACAGTCTCGGGGTTCTAGGGCCTCACCTGGGCTGATGTCTTTCCACAGAACCAGAAACTGGGAATCGTCCTCAAACTGGACCAGACACACCTCCCGGGTGCTGTCCACCTGGAAGGGGGGAGCGCGAGAAGAAATGGGAACCCGGTGTAGCTGAGCGGGCTGGGGAGGAGGAAAGGCCGAGAGAGCGGACGTAGAAGGTCTCACCTTCTTGATCGTTCCCAAGTACAGCAGCCCATCCGTCCACCTTGCCAGGACATCCTGCCCCTCCCAAAGTCGAGGCCTGGGGCCCGAGGTGGGAGCAGGAGAAGTGGGGTCCCAAAGAGAGGGGGCTCCAGAGCGGCTCAGCCGGGGGGGCTGCGCCATTGCATTCTGGGCGGGCCTGGCCCGCAATGGGATGGAAAAGAGGCGGTTATGAAGGCTGAGAAAGCGTCCCCATTTTCTTTGCCCATTTTTCTGTCAAGGACGAAGCATCTGCACCTCCAGCCTCCAAAGTCCCCCGACCCTGGGCTGCCCTCCCCAGCTTCCGGACTCCAGCTCTTCCAAGTCCGCTCGCTGGTCCTCTCCCACCCCGCCACCTACTTCTCCAGTTTCCTCGCTCCCAGAGCTCTCCTGGGACAGTAAACCCTGGCCTTGGGGTCTGGGGAGAAATGACGGCTGCAGAAGCAAGGGTTACGCGCAGCTACTTAGGGGCAGCACGACCGGGGTGCCCTGCTGCTGCCCAGAAATGTGAGGGAGCTGTCCTGGAGACGTTTCCCAGGGTAGGGTGGCCGGCTCCGGGGCCTGCACGTCTCGTTCAGAGCCATCCTCCCGGAGCCAGGTTATGCCAGGTCACCCTCAAACGCGGGGCTCCCTGCCCCTGGGTGACAACTTCCCCGAGCGCCCCGGAGGGGGGCGTGTCCCCGTCCCGGGCTCCACTCCCCACCACGGCGAGTCCGAGCGGGACGCGGTGGCCGCCGCCGCCCTGCCGAGCCCGGGGCGCCGAGGCTCCGCTCTCC